AGTAATTTTCCCATTTCTTTCTGGAATGTAACAGACTATAAATCAGATTGTCTTCCAGAAAAGGTTATTAGTTTATTCTTGTGTACTGAGACATGTAAAACACTTGCACACTCAGTTAACTATTTTTATAGGCATTACGTGTTCAACAAAGATTAACAGTTGTATAGTCAAAAGAGGATATCAATGCACTCTATGAATTATTCAATTCTGTGTATTTCAGAAGAAGAATTGCAACGTATTTTGGCGTATTTTACTTCTCAGATAAAAATGGTCGAAGCTGCTATTGGAACAGCTAGAAGGAAAAGGGCCTCCCCTATCTCTGCTTCTCTTCCAAACATGTACATTTTCAAGTATTGTTTGTTCGCAGCTGAATAAGAAAAAATAAATCATTAAGAGAGTCTACCTACTTCTTGGATAGAATAGGAGCACTGAAGAAGTCGTTGGCGAATCGAAACGAGACGAAGACAAGCGAAAATGTAGATGCCAGTCCGAAATTCAGGAACGAAAATAACTTTCCACCTGTGAGCAAGTTCTAGGACTTATCTATGCAGTGCACAAATTTTATAACTTCGTCAAAATGACGAAATGAGTCTACTGGTTTAAAAGACCAGTTCTCTACGAAACAAGAATGTTAGTGGAAAGTACGAACCGAATTTCTGAATTTTATGTTTCCTTCTCTTTTAGGTCCTTCAAATCAACGATAGCCTGCAGGACTGTAAACGTTTAACACAGCCTGAACTCGTAGCCGAACTAAAGCAGAGAGGTACCTACAATCCCGAATTGATGGCATGGGACGCTATTGGTGTTATACGGTTTCTCGATAGGACAATTCATGATCATTATCAAGTTTGCATAACTCCCCTATCGTTGTCATATCATTTCATCTCATAAAGCTTCAGCGACAGCCACCACGCAATCGACAGCGTGAGGAAGCGTTTTCGCGTAATGTCGAAGCCCTTGCCAGCCTCTTGAAAGAGCTCAATGTTACCTGTGACCTCCACTCACCTTCAGTATTGCAAAAATTGCAGAACGCTACCTTGTAAGTTTGTTTCAATAGTTTTACGAATTAAAAAAAGCGCTTTAGCGGTGAGCCCCGAAGAAGCATAATTTCACCATCACTTCGACGCTCAAAAAGAAAAGACCAGGTTGAGGAAATCCTCCACGCACTCAATATCACAGGAAAAGTACCGCGAAGAGCTAAAGATCAGCCTCTTACCTTAGAGGATGAAAATTTGACACCACGACAAAAGTTAATAGGTGAGATTCAAATCCTTATTGAGCATGACTCAAAGAGAAAGATGTTCAGGTGAATCTCACATAGTGCCATTTGGTTGTGATAAAAGAGGAGCGGAGGAAGATGGGTATTTGAGACTCTGTGGAGCATGCCAAGTATGATTTTGTGAAATATTCAATCTTCTTTTCTTTTCGTCCCCTCCTTCTACGATAGGTTTATTTTTTTGCAAATTATGTACTACTACGTTTTTGCTTCAGCAAGCTAACAAACCTCAGCTTTATTTACGCGCAACTTCTAAGTTCACAAAAAGGGTAGATACGGGCTTTACAAGATTTGCTTCAACCTTCTATATAAAAGCTTACATTATATTTGCATTTAGCTAACAACCAAACTCTATAGTGATATATTAGCACAAGAAGCTGATACACGTCATTCAGCATTAAATATCCTGAGCTGAAGGCAATCGATCCACTGCGTTCTAACTTGCGCAGAAGAAACGATTATTTAGAAAGGTCTCTAACGACGCTTGTCACTCAATATACAGCACTCGCAACTGCTACTCTTTGGATACAGAGATACGAGATAGCTATTTTTGTGTCTGAAATTTGAAGATTCCGTTTTGAAGTGCCATTCTCAGCATAACAACCACATTAAACACCTTTCAGCAGCAGAATCGATTGAACTCAACCAAAAAGATCCCAAAAGAATTTTGTCGATTTTTTACGGCATATCATAAACAGCATTTGGCAAACAAGAACTAAATTAAATCAGGGGGAGGGGGAACAAAGCGAACATTGTGCCTTCTTTAGTGAATAGTATGGGCCAGGTATAGTAGTTCTGTTTTGCCATTGGCCTCGACAATTGATGCTATAAGCAAGAAATAAATATCTAAAATTGACCATCTTTGGAATTTTGGACAGTATCAAGTATGTTGCTAGGTCATACCATTAACGACCGCCTTCCCCGGTTGGCTATCCCTCCTCTCCCCCCTCCCCTTCTCGTATTACATTACGACTATCTTTTAAAATAAGCTTTGATTAGAGTTTTCTGTGATACTTTAGATAAGACTCAGAGGATTACTACTTACTTAGATACTTAGATGGCCTATCTTCACTTGTCGTGCAGGCCACAGCACTGTTTCCATCCATTTCTGTCTCTCGCTAGTGTCATCCACGATGTTGATATTGAACTGCGGCGGCGACATTCGCGAGGTCCAGATCCATTACTCGTTACCAGCTGAGAATTCGTCCATCCGTGTAACGAACACGTCAGCCCATCTCGTCGGTTGCCTCCCGCGAGGACGTTTTGCTTCGCGAGGAATCCATTCCAGAGCTTTTAGTGTCTATCTGCGGTCTGTCCTTCTCATTATATGGCCAGCCCATCGATGCTTTGCCTTAGAGACGTATTCCGCTGAATTGCGAAAACGGGACATTGATCTCATATCTGAACTGCGAAGTCCGACAAGATGTTGAGTACGCCGGTTATACTTCAGAAGACGTCGCTCCGGCGCTCTGTGGGTTGTTCAGAAAGCCTTTGACGTAGCCATAGTGTCAGACCACGTCCCTGCTGCGTAGCAGAGCGCAGGGAGAACAGCTGAATCGAACAGGTGGGCTCGGAGCTCTGGGTCCGTCAG